AGAAGAGAAGAGAAGAGAAGAGAAGAGAAGAGAAGAGAAGAGAAGAGAAGAGAATTTAAATCAAGTCACCCTGCGGGCAGTATTCACATACCTCAGATCCTTTCTCCCTTTAGGATAAATACGTGTAACTTAATCCAATGATATCAAATGTCATTAACTTACCAAGTATCCCAGGTGGTGTGAAAGGAGCATACGGGTTGTATATTCCAGGTTGATCATAGTATCGCTGTGCTTGAGATAAAATCTGTCTGTTTCTCTCTTTCTCAATCACGTCTTTGTGATGTCGTCCATATTCCTGCCAAAATAAACAACAATATATCACGAGTAAGCTCGAGAAGAAAAGAAAAATTGGTGAAATGTTGTAGACGAGAATAAAGGAGCAAAGAAAGAAAGAAAGAAAAAAAAAAAAAAAAAAGAAAAAAGAAAGAAAGAAAAATTTTCCAACCATGTCTGCGTCAGGGGTCACCCATCCAGCTGCTAACCCCGACAACCGGGCTTGACTCACTCTCTCAAAAGTCAAAGTTTTTTCCACTGGACTACATTGCCTAATAATTTAGCACAATAATAGCCTTGAAAACAATGCGTCAGATAGACTAGATTATTTTTCCACTTCAGATTAATGTACCTAGTGCGTGGTAGGTTGTGCAAGGGATTAGCTGTAGATATGGTCTGGGGGCCGGCTAGTCTCTCCCCTGATGCTTCGGCTAGAACACAGTCCTGCGTAATCCGTGCAAACAAGGGCAGAAGGATTTAATTGCCGTCAGGTCTGAAGTCCATACGTCGCCTCAGCTCTGCGGATGTCTCGGGGGGTATGGCATGTGGTAGGTGCAGGTTTTTTTTGGAATTAATTATCGATTTTCTCAAAGTAGACGTGAGTTCGATTCACGCTGCCAACAGATTATTTTTCCATCACATTTGTTTTAATCATGTTTTTTTTTTTGATCTATAAATTTAAAACATCATTTTTTTGAATACTAGTAAATATTATTTTTGAGTATCAGCAGAGACCCGGCTGGCCGATTATCACCCGCCTGCTTCCCGCGGGAATCCCATAAGTACCCGGCCATTACTGGTCCGCTACCCGTAGAATCGGGTTCATTACTAAACTCACTAGTTCAAAGAAAAAAATGCAAACTCTTTACTTGAATCAGGCAAAGCAATAGATTCGAGTTTTGCAGAATAAAATGCAGAATAAATGATAAGATAGGTCCTAAGAATCCAGAAGAGAAAGGAATGTGAGGGAAGGGGGG